CTCTATTTTCAATTTAGCATTCCTCAAAATAAAAATAAGATTTCAAAGATCACAAAAAAGTATATTTATTATTAATAAAGAAGTTTAATAGAATGATGCTATTCCTTTATCCCCAGATCTTATACTTTAAAATATCGGCATAATCTTTTCTTGCATTAAAAATGTTTTTCAGAATGAATACAAGCAAAAATGTTAAAAATTATTGTTAAGAAAACAATTTAAATCTGGATGTAATTTCTATTTTAGTGCTTCTTTTCTGACACAAGTATTTTGATCTTTCTGTAGCTGTGCTGTTAAAAAATAAATAACCAGTAGGCTATCAGGAGATGGGAGGATAAATAGGTTCCTAAACCTTTAGTGTAGCACTTTAAAGAGATTCCTTTAGAAAAGTAAGTGTGAAGCAGTGAGCAATAGGAATAAAGCTAACTGCTCTCAAATTTAAAGGCACACATAAATTTAAGGACAAATGCATTTTCAGTTCAAATGACTAATTAACCAAATCCATCATAAAAACTAATGAATATGACTGAACTTTATAACATCAGGAATTCAAATGAGCTTTAGTTGATAGTAAGAATAAATTAAATCCCCAAACGTTTTCAAATATATAGTTACTAGTGGCCAGGTGCATGAAATTCGTGCACAGAGGGGAGGTTCTCTCAGCCCAGACTGCACCCTCTCCAATCAGGGACATCCCTCTCGCAATCTGGGACCGCTGGCTCCTAACCTCTCACCTGCCTGCCTGCCTGATTGCCCCTAACTGCCACTGCCTGCCTGCCTGATTGCCCCTAACCTCCCTGCCTGCCTGACTGATTACCCCTAACCTCTCTGCCTGCCTGTCTGATCACCCCTAACAGACCTCCCCTGCCGCTTGATCTCGCCCCCAACTGCCCTCCCCTGCCAGCCTGATCTTGCCCCCAACTGCCCTCCTGCTGGCCTGATCTTGCCCCCAACTGCTCTCCCCTGCTGGCCTGATTGCCCCTAACTGCCTCTGCTTGCCTGATCACCCCTATCTGCCCTCCCCTGCTGGTCTGATCTCACCCTCAACTGCCCTATCCTGCTGGCCAATTTGGTCTGATTGGTCGGTTTCTATGCCAGTCAGCGTCAAAAGCTCTGCCTCCTAGGTAGCCATTGGCTCCTCGTAGTTCACACAGATTTGATTCTGATTGGTGGGTTTCTATGCCAGTCAGCATCTCTGGGCCTATCTCTGGGCCTGATCAGAGAGGCAGGGCTGATCAGCAGTCCCCGCTGAGGCCCGGAGAGAAAGAGAGGCGTAGCTGCTGGCAAAGCCTGGAGAGAAAGTGAGAGGCAACGGCTGATCAACAGCTGCCACAGAGGCTGCGGATCAGACCCTGCCTCTCTCTCCAGGCCTCTCTATAGGCCTGATCCGCAGCCCCCTCGGCAGTCAGTGCTGGGTCACCACGGCAACCAAGCACTGACTGCAGGACTGACTTCCAGTGATCAGTTGAGCCTTTGGTCAGTCATTATGGACCCTGGATTTTTATATATTAGGATACTTTAGAATGGAAATCCTTATTGTGCTTGTAATTCAATTAAAAATTAACCTCCTAAATATTAGTTATCTATTTATCTCTAGCCAATCTCCACTCTTCCACTATAAAACTAAAAACCCTGGTTTCAGGTAATGCTGTTTATTAACAGCTACCAACAAAAATCACTCATTTGTCACTGAATGCTCTAGGTTTTAAAACTAAAAGATTCTTATTGGCATTTAAAATATCACCAGAGTCATTCAGCTGTGATAAGGCATTACGGGTAATAAAGAAGACATTCTTAGTCCTGATTCAATGATGCTTACAAGAGGTGAAAGAATGTCCTTATATACAATCACTCTGACTTAGAACATTTTCCCTAAAGAATTAAAATAACAAAATTTTGTAGATATTAGAAATGTATTTTTTATTAAAAGGTTTTTCCCTTGGGATGTAAGCTCCTTGAAAGAGAAGCCTTATCTTTGTGTCTCAATTCCTAATAGACTACATGGCATAGAGCAAGCCTTTTAAAATAGGTTCTAATAGAATAATTGTATGTAATGAAATAACTTCTCACCTATACATATAGAATAGTACAAGTTTATGTACTACCTTGGGAGATTTGAGAAGACAGTCACTCAATTTTCTGTGTTTTGACAGGTTACATGAGGAAGCTTGGCTGAGAAAGACTGAATAGAGTATGTAAAATCACCCAAGAAATTGAGATAACAAGTGAAAACATTACCTACTAATGGACTGAACGTCTTCTCTCCCAAATCCATTATTATTGCATATTTAAATACTCCAGTTTTAAACTCCTTGAAGACAAGAACCAATTTTTCCCAACTTTTGTAACTCCTGTAAGGTCTAGGACACTATGCTACACAGTTCAATTTAACAAACATTGTGTCTTGACAGTGGATTAAAACACACACACACACACACACACACACACACACTCACACACATTCAATGCCTAAACCATATTCCCAACTCATTATGTCAGAGGGTTGGGCCCAGGACTTTTTATTATTATTATTTTTTAAGTTTTTAAAAAATATTTTTGATTTTTAGAAAGAGAGAAAGGGAGAGAGACAAAAACATCGATGTAAGAACCAAACATTGATCAGCTGTCTCCTGCACATCCCCTATCAGGGTTTGAGTCCGTCATCTGAGCATGTGCCCTGCATGTGCCCTGACTGGGAATCAAACCAGCAACTTTTTGGTGCAAGGAACAATGTCGAACCAACTGAGCCACACCAGCCAGGGCAGGTCCAGGAATAGTTTTAGAAAAATCTCTATAGGTAGAAGGCTGGGTATCCAAGATTACTCAATTGAAATAAATTCCTATTCCCATTGCTAGTTTCTATAAATACACCCTGGTTGCCTCATTCAGTCCCATTATCTTCATTTAAACCTTGCCTTTCAAAAGCCTCCCCCTCTTCTCTTCTTTAAAAGTCCACATTACAATATTTCAAAGACATGCCATCATTCTGTCCTGAAGTTGGTATATTTTTTAATTCAACCCTCTTCAGAATCATTTTGATGTCCTTCAATCATGAGTGTTATTTCACTTCATTCTCCTTTCATTTCTACCAGGGTCTTCTAAATTTCACCTGGCCACCTGTAACCTTTCTAATTTCTTTTGCTCCTAATGCAATATCTTGAACTTATCCATTTTAGTGTTAATTATAGTTTCCCGATGCCTTTGCTATTGATTTTATTTCCTCTTAGACAAAATATTAAAAGTTCTGAGTACACTTTTAGGTAAATACCCAAAAGAAGGGGAAGGAAAACATATACCTGCATACCCATGTTCATAGCAGCATTATTCATAATAGCAAAAAGATGGAACAACTCAAGTGTCCAGAAGAAAGGATAAACAAGAGGTGGCACAAAAATACAATAAAACAGTAGTCTCAAAAAAGAAATTCTAGTATATGCTACAACATAAATCAACCTTGAAAATAATATGTTAAGTATAAGTCAGACTTAGAAGAATAAAAATTGAATGATTCTACTTATATAAGGTACCTAGAATAGGCAAATTCAGAGGCAGAAAGTAAAACAGAGATTACCAGGGGCTATAGGAGAGGTCAATGGGGGGTGGGAGGTGGGGAAGGAAGGACATCTGTAATACTTTTAACAATAAAGATAAATTAAATAAATGGATCAAAGTGGAAAGCTACTTTAATCTTAACTACAAAGAAACTATAAATAAATGTATTAGTTTTAAAGATGATACTTTTAGTCTTAAAAGAAATTAATGGGAGTAATTTGTCTTCATGATGCCCTGAAAATATTAGGGAAAATAAATTAGGAAATAAATTTAGTGTATGAAAAATTATTAAAATATCCTATACATAAGGAATAAAAAGTACATAATATATGATGTGAAAAGGCAAAGATAACAAATGACTTAGAAAAAAAAAGTCTATTCTTAAGTAAAGAGAAAAATGTAAAGTTGTATAAAAAAGCTAAAAGGATGGGTGGAAATGAGTTTAAAAGGCAGTTTAAGAGTAAATTGGACTGTACTGTTAAAAAGCAAAGCATTTTTCTATTTTTAAGATATGTTTGGACAATATGTAGGCAACATTTTTCTTGGAAATAAAACCTGATCAGGGTTACAAGACAACAGAGGAACAATGCCAGTGATTTATCAGATATAGAGAAGTATAAAGGAGGTAATATGGCAAGTTTCAAGGCTGAGTACATAGGAGATGAATATAATATCTCAAGTTAACTAATGGGGCAGCCATGTACAACAAATAGTTATAGGAGACAGTCATAAAGCAAATTCAATCAGCAGTCCAACTTAGTGGCAGAAGGCAAGTGGAGATCAGCAGCAGAAGTGCTAAACAATCTGAACCTACATATATCACAGGCATAGATTGGGCAGGGCAAGATCAAGCAGGCAGATGGCATAGGAGTGCCGACAGACAATGCTGAGCAGTCTAAAATGCTAAAACAGCAAATGGCTATGAGAGTAACAGGCCATTTGCTGCTGGACAAAGCACCAGTGAGTAAAGAATGCAAATTAATCAGCAGATGAGTAAAGTGGGGAAAAAAAAAAAAAAGAGAGAGAAAAAAAATCAAAGGCAGTCAAAGCAGGAAGACAGAATAGCAGAGAGGCAATGATAGATCATCAGAAGCAGTTGGGTAGGGTAGTGAAAAGCTGTCAGCAGGGGAACAAAACACCATTCAGGAAAAAAATGAGACAGAGTGAAGCAATCTCCTGAATTTGGTGTCTTCCATCTAGGAAACAGTCACAAGTAAACTGCATGTGAAAATCCATAAGAGAACAGCACACAAATGGAAATAGCTAATGGATCTGAACTCTATTGCCCAGAGATACAGAGTGACCCTAGAACATAGATACATACAATCCACAAGAAAATTAAACAGATGGGAAAATGGGTTGAAGCATTTTTATAATGACAAAAAAAATCAAAACACTAAAAATTATTAATCTGGAAATGATTGGCTGGGATTGAAGTCTTCGCTTACCCCTTTCTGGAGCCCACAAAATGGGAATGTTGGGAATTTCTGCAGCAGAAAAACAGAAGAGAAAAGGGATTTCTGACTCCCAGTTTGAGGAAAGCAGATCAAATTTAGGGCTGTATGAACTGGTTCATGGAAGTAAGAACCAGCCTGAACCTTCACCCTTCCTCAGAATCAAGCCATTTCTGAGGTTTGAGAAAGGTTTAGGAAGCCCTCACCCCATCATTTCCCACAACCGCCCCTTTCACACTTACCTCCAGTGCAAACAGTTTCCAGCAAGGAGGTACTTGGGAACATTCACTCCCATGTTAACGCTATGGCAAAGTTTGAGGATGGCCTACTAATGGTACTTTCTGTGTAGGTCAGATTTCTGACTCAGTGGAATCCCTTCCACCCTTTGTGTGTGAGCAGATGGGACAGGTTATTAGAAGCTACCTACCTCTTTGAAAGTGAATGAGAAAAGAAGCAGGGGCAGAAATACCAATAAAGAAATAGTAATACTAATCAATACCTTGATCAGCTCATCAATTGTCATGGGCTTTAATTCCATTAAGATCTTGATGACTCTAAAAAAATAGTATCTCTAGCCAGACTTTTACTCTGAACTCCAGATGCAAATATCTAACAGCCAACTTAACATCTCTACTTGGATATCTTAAAGGCAGTTCAAGTTTCCATGATCAAAGTAAAACTCCTGATCTACCTCCTCAAATCTACTCTTCCCACAGTCTTATCCAGTAAATGGCAACTCCATCCTTCCAATTGCCAAGTCAAAATCCTGGGTATTATACTTAACTTTTTTCTTACTCCAATCTGTTATCTCTACCTTCAGAATGTATCAATAATGTATTTTTCACTACCTCCACCTCTATCACTGGCTTACTAGTAAGTCACTATAATTTTTCACCTGGATTATTTCAATAGCCTCTTAAATGGTTTCCCAGTTAAAATATAAGTCAAACCATGCCACATCTCTGTTCAAAACTCTCCATTACTCTAAGGGTAACATACAGGTCCTACTTGATCCATGGCTTATTCCCTCTCCTACTTTAGATGTTTACTCAAATGTCACCTTATCAACGAAGCTTTCCTTGATGGCCTTATTTAAAATTACAATCCTCTTTCCTGCTACCTATCCACCTTCCCTGGTATATTTTTATCCATAGTACTTATCACCATCCCTAATACAACACTTGTTCCTTGTTTATTTATATTTGTGTCACCCCACTAAAATGTGAATTCTAAAGAGGCAGGGACTTTTGACTTCTTTGGTTATTGCTATATTCCCAATATCTTGAACAGTACTTGGCATTTAAAATAGGTATTCAGGAAATATTTGAGTTTGTGAAGTGTTAATTTCTTGTGGGACATCTCCTTTCTCTGTCTTAAATTCTCACAGCAATCTTCTGAAAGCTCAAAAACTATGGGCTTTTAATCAACAGAGTATATGCTATTACAGAACAGGAGTGTTCTAAAATAGGGTTAGCAAACCACAGCCAATGGGACAAATCCTACCTGCTGCTTTTTTTTTTTTTTTTGGCATGGCCTACAATCTAAGAGTGATCTTTATATTTTTTAATGATTGAAAAAAAGCAAAAGAAAAATATTTCATGATATATGAAAACTATATGAAATCCAATTTCAGTGTCTATAAATAAAATGTTATTGGGGTAGAGCAAGGCACATTCATTTATATCATCTTATGGCAGATTCTGTGCTACAGGGCTGGCAAAGGTGAATAGTTATGAGAGAGCTCATACATCCTACAAAGTCTAAAATATTTACTATATAGACCTCTAAAGAATAAGTTTGCTGACCTCCATCCTAAGGTATTTTTTGTTTTGTTTAGAAGGCAAAGAGTAATAACTAATGTTTGAACAAAGATAAACTGGAGCATCATTGTGAATACTGTTGCGATTATCGCTCGCTCAAGATAAACATGAGGGAAGGTCTATTTATACTAAGATTTGCTTTCAATATTACATAAAAGCAGCCCTCATTTCTCTAATTATTATTTAATACCAGAGGCTCGGTGCACGAATTCGTGCACCAGTGGGGTCTCTTGGCCTGGCCTGAGGGATTGAGCCGAAACGAGCTCTCTGACAACCCCTGAGGGGTCCTGGATTGCAAGAGGGTGAAGGCCAGGCTGAGGGACCCCACCTGTGCACGATCAGGGTCGGGGAGGGACACGGGAGGTTGGCCAGCTGAGGAGGGACTGAGGGAGGGGTCCAGGGCATGCCAGGCCTGTCTTGCTCAGTTCCGATCTGCTGGACCCCAGCAGCAAGCTAACCTACCAGTTGGAGCACCTGCCCCCTGGTGGTCAGTGCATGTCAGAGAGCAGTTGAGCAGCCTTAGCATATCATTAGCATATTATACTTCAATTGGTTGAACAGCCAACCGGATGACCGGACACTTAGCGTATTAGGCTTTTATTATATAGGAGGATTGATGATGATATTCATTAATCTACCCACTACACAGAAACACTCTATCTTAAGGGACAGGGTGCAGTATAGAAAAGTCTTAAAAAATGGCAAAAAGAGAGGAAGTGAAGGAGGAAAGTAAATAGGGCCAACAAATAGATCACATATCAAAGTACCATAATTAACTAAACCTCTAAGTACCCTGTTTAACAATAGTGGGAAATTGGCATCGTGTGAATCTCTTTTGAACCAAATCAATGGTGTTATAATGCTAAAGTGAATTCATGATAATGGAGGTCTCCTATACAATGTAGTCTTAAATCAGAGCAAGCAACAGACACATTTTAATAAGATTCCATTACATTTATATAATATACAAAACTAACAGCTATCTTCTCATTGGCTCAAAAGCATATATTTTATAGAGAAGTATTTTTTAAAATTTGAAAAATCCTATTTGAAATCACCTTCTAGTCAAAACTGAGCTATCTTCTCAGTACATAAAGTTTTATCCTGATAATTATTACATGAAAGGATATTATATCATGCTGTAATTAAACTATAGAAAGCGAAGAGGGAGGTGAGGGGAAAACACACTTAAATTACTCCAATGATATACATCACTACAATGCTATCTTCAATCTTCATAGAGTCATATAATTTATTTCCTCATATCAATTGGTTCTTCCACCACAATCAACTGCTTCTTCTGCATTATTGCCTTTGACCTTCAATATCTTTCTCAGGGAAACTGATGACAATGCATTTTCAGACATCATACTGCCAAAAGCTTTACTGCTTCTTTCTTCTCGGCATCTTTTGAAGGAATTTGGATTCTTCCTGTAAGTTCTCATCATTGTGCCTGTCATTTATGATTATCTGTAACAGTTTCTCCCTCCACTGGACATCTGTCCTCTATTCTTTAATAGCAGCCATATTCTTTCCAAGTTGCAATATGAGGAAATAATACTTGTAAAATTATTAGAATGATTCCAAGTAGTTTATTTTGTTATATGAATCCACTTTCTGACTCTCTATTATTAGTTCCATGTTTCCTTTTTTGGCAGGCAATAACAAAATTACAAATATTCTGCCCTTCTAATACAGTGATATCATTCTAAGAAGCTCAGAGGACTTGACAGATATAAATCTATTTGTTATCATTTTACTACATTTTGCATGAAAAGCAACATTAATTCCACTTTATAGATGGAACTCTAACATAGGAGATGAATACACATTCTTTATTTCAGACAATAATAAGGAATATCCTGAAATTTTCATTCCTTGAAAATGTATCTCTAGATAAATATGCTTTACCACTTGTATTTGCAATTTATTTAATGATATTTAGTTTTCAATGCCTTAGCACATAATTTGCAAAACTGAAGTATTCAGATGCCAGCCTCTGTTCATTTTACAAGAGTATGCTTATAAGGGTAAGCTGGAAAGGTGATTTTAAGATTTTATCACTCTTGACAGATTTAAGGTAGAAAAAAATCAATATCTAGCATGTCATCTCTGTTTCTTTTTACTTCTTCACAACTACACTGTTGTAAACTTTAGGTCCTTATCTTGATGGGTTTTTCCCCAGAGAAAAATTCTTTCAATATTTACTCAGCTATTATCTATTTATTTTTTAAGCTAATGCTCTTTCTACTTATATTGCAGGTAATAATAGCAAATATTTATGTGGCAAATATTGTTTTTAGTGTCCTACTTACATTAATTCACAACCTACCCATGAGTTAAGTATTTTTATTCTCTCCATTTTACACATAAGAAATAAGTATAGAAAATAAGTAAAGTTGTATAAGGTTGCACACTAGGAAAAGGTGAATCTAGTATTCAAACCTACGTGCTTTTAATCACTATGTTATGCAGCCTCATATATGGTTAAATGGGCAACACCATTTTTCTAGTAAGAGCTCTATTTAGACATAAATTTTTTCATAATAAATAAATTTGTATTTTACTGATATGATCTCTCTTCACCAAACAGGTACCCCCCAAAAAGCTGAGTTTACATATTCTGGTACAGTGTAGGCATGGAATTAAGCATTATACTTAAGGGAAAATAAAGACAGCATTTTATTTATGGATTTGTTATACATGAAATTTGTTTTTGCCTTATACTCAAAATTACAAAATTCTGACCTTAAGTAGCAATGTGCTTTACTCTCTTTAGTGTGGCTATGTGGAATGGGAGCCTTTCAACATAATAGTTTTAAATGCAATGTCACTTATTGTCCTAATTACTCCATCTAAGTGATTTTGTACCTGTAACTTTTCCACTGGTACAATTGTACTACAAAGTTTTTCTTTTTCTTTTCTTTTTTTTTTTTATTTACATATTTTTATTGATTTCAGAGAAGAAGGGAGAGGAAGAGAGAGACAGAAACATCAACGATGAGAGACAATCATCGATTGGCTGCCTCCTGCACGCTCCCTACTGGGAATTGAGCCCACAACCTGGGTATGTGCCCTGATCAGGAATCAAACCTTGACCTCCTGGTTCATGGATCGACACTCATCCACTAAGCCACATTGACCGGGCCGGAGTTTTTCTTTTTAATGAATAAATAAAATAGGGGGTGAATGTCTTGGGAAAGTCTGTAGCTG